GGCAGTTTGCAGACCGATGCAGGCGCACACGCATCCGTAGTGTGATTGCAGAGGGTCGGCATCTGGTACGCCGACCGGCCCTCCTGTGACTATGAACTATAGACCCTGGACGGGATATAAAAACCCAGCTGAATACACTGCCGAACAACCAGGAGCAGGCAGAGACCGGAGGGGCGCTGACACTTAGAAGAGGTAAGGCCTCTAGGGAAGTCTCCTACTCTTACGGCTTTGGCCCCACCCCTGGGCACCGTCCCCGGGGACTCGCACACCGAGGAAATCTGGGAGGCACAGGACAGAACCGATTCTCCGCATCATTTACCGCGTCCAAGATTGAATCTGAAGCCGTCTCATGGGTGAGGAATTGGGAGAACGAGACCCCTTCTCAAGAGAGGCCACCAAGACTGACGCCGGGATAATCCACTGTCAGGCTGAGCAAACAAGGGAGTTCCCGATCGTTAGGCGAGGACTCAGCTGTCCTAACCGTGCTCAGGGATGTGCCGGAAATCATGCGGGTAATGTGAAGGCAGGAAGTGCCAGCAGAGAGACAGAAACTTTAAAAAAAAAAAAAAAATCCATAAAATGGAAATTGTAGAACTGAAAAATATAAAATCACAAAATCCAGTCAGTTCCTTATACGGGCTTAGCAGAATGGAAAGGAGATCATCAGAGAACCTTCTACACGGCAGAAGTTGATAGACACGTGTGCGTGGGAACGGTACAGAACACTCAGGCACGGAAGGGACCACACAGAGGCCTGCTGGTGCCCTTGTAGGCAAGGTCTCTGAAGGAGGGGAGAGAAAACATAGGACAGAAAAACAATCTGAAAAAACAACGGCCACAATTTTCCCAAATCTGATTAATGGTATTAAGTTTACAGATCCAGGGGCGCCTGGGTGGCGCAGTCGGGTAAGCGTCCGACTTCAGCCAGGTCACCATCTCGCGGTCTGTGAGTTCGAGCCCCACGTCGGGCTCTGGGCTGATGGCTCAGAGCCTGGAGCCTGTTTCCGATTCTGTGTCTCCCTCTCTCTCTGCCCCTCCCCCGTTCATGCTCTGTCTCTCTCTGTCCCAAAAATAAATAAAAAACGTTGAAAAAAAAAATTTTTTTTAAGTTTATAGATCCAAAGGGGCGCCTGGGTGGCTCAGTCGGTTAAGCGTCTGACTTCGGCTCAGGTCATGCTCTCACGGTCTGTGAGTTCGAGCCCCGCATCAGGCTCTGTGCCGACAGCTCAGAGCCCGGAGCCTGCTTTGGATTCTGGGTCTCCCTCTCTCTCTGCCCCTGCCCCTCTCACTCTGTCTCTCTCAAAAATAAACAAACATTAGAAAAAATTAAAAAAAAAATTTCTGCAGGCCAAAGGGAAATGATACCAGATCTCTAAGTAGGAATGAAAAGCATCAGAAATGGTAAATATGTGCATAAATATAAAAGACTTTTCCTCTTAATTTATTTTTTTTTAATTTTTTTTTATTTGACGTTTATTTATTTTTGAGACATAGAGAGACAGAGCATGAACGGGGTAGGGTCAGAGAGAGAGGGAGAGACAGAATCTGAAACAGGCTCCAGGCTCCGAGCTGTCAGCACAGAGCCCGATACGGGGCTCGAACTCACAGAGTGTGAGATCATGACCTGAGCCGAAGTCGGTCGCCCAACCGACTGAGCCACCCAGGCGCCCCTCCTCTTAATTTAAAATACATAACGGGGCGCCTGGGTGGCGCAGTCGGTTAAGCGTCCGACTTCAGCCAGGTCACGATCTCGCGGTCCGTGAGTTCGAGCCCCGCGTCAGGCTCTGGGCTGATGGCTCAGAGCCTGGAGCCTGTTTCCGATTCTGTGTCTCCCTCTCTCTGTGCCCCTCCCCCGTTCATGCTCTGTCTCTCTCTGTCCCAAAAATAAATAAACGTTGAAAAAAAAAAATTTAAAAAAAAAAAAATAAAATAAAATACATAACAAAACCATAAAAGACAGGGATGGTAAACAGACCTATACAGTTGCAAGATCTCCACATTAAAAAAATTTTTTTTAATACTTATATTTGAGAGACAGAGACAGAGCGTGAGCAGGGGAAGGGCAGAGAGAGAGGGAGACACAGATTCCAAAGGAGGCTCCAGGCTCCGAGCTGTCAGCACAGAGCCCGACGCGGGGCTCAAACCCACGAACTGTGAGATCATGACCTGAGCCAAAGTCGGACACCCAAACTGACTGAGCCCCCCAGGCACTTCTCAAGATTTCCACATTTTATGGGAAGTGGTACATTAACTCTAGGTAGACTGAAAACCTGAGAATGTATATGGTAACTTCTAGAGCCTCCGCTAAAAAAATTATGCGAAGACCGTACAGCTAAAAAGCCAATAAGTTAAAATGCAATTCTAAAATAAAAAACTAAGCCAAACAGAAAACAAGAAAATGATAAACCGAGGGACACCCAGGGGGCTCAGTCAGTTGAGCATCAGACTTCGGCTCAGGTCATGATCTGGCAGTGCATGGGTTCGAGCTCCACCATCAGGATCCTCTGTCCCCCCCCTCTCTGCCCCTCCCAGCTTGTGCTCTCTCACTCAAAGGTAAATAAACATTTTTAAAAAATAGAATAAAATGATACACCCAAATCGAACTATACCAATAATCACATCTAATGTTAATAAACACACAAAAAAGGCTCAGCCTGGGGCACCGGGCTGGTTCAGTCAGTGGACCATGCAACTTTTGATCTTGGGGTCGTGAGTTTGAACCTCATGTGGGGTATAGATATTATTTTTTAAAAATCTGTCTGGGAATGCAGGCTGGCGCAGCCACTCTGGAAGACAGGATGGAGGTTCCTCAAAAAACTAAAAAGAGAACTACCCTATGACCCAGCAATTGCACTACTAGGCATTTATCCAAGGGATACAGGGGTGCTGTTTCGAAGGGATGCATGCACCCCCACGTTTATAGCAGCACTATCGACAAGAGCCAAAGTATGGAAAGAGCCCGAATATCCACTGATGGATGAATGGATAAAGATGTGGTGTGTGTGTGTGTGTGTGTATATATATATATATACACACAGACACATACACACACAAACACACACACACAATGGAGTATCACTCGACAATCAAAAAGAATGAAATCTTGCCATTTGCAACTACGTGGATGGAAATGGAAGGTATTATGCTAAGTGAAACTAGTCAGAGAAAGACAAAAATCGTATGACTTCACTCACGTGAGGACTTTTGAGACAAAACAGATGAACATAAGGGAAGGGAAACAAAAATAATATAAAAACAGGGAGGGGGACAAAACATGAGACTCATAAATATGGAGAACAAACCAAGGGTTACGGGAGGGGTTGGGGGGGGGATGGGCTACATGTGTCAGGGGCACTAAGGAATCTACTCCTGAAATCATTGTTGCACGATATGCGAACGAATTTGGGCGTAAATGAAAAAACAAATAAATGAAATAAAAAACTAAAAAAAAAACTGTAAGTGATAAGGACATAAATAAATAAGTGGCAGGGCCAGAACAGATAAAAGTGTGAGATCCAAGTATATGGGGTCTACAGGAATTTCCCTTCTTTTAAATAGAAACACAGAGAGGTAAGAAGTGAATGAACAGAAAAAGGTATGCAAACAGCATCAGAAGGCCGGAGAAGCTCTAATTCACATCAGATACAGCGGAGTTGGAAACAAAGGATGTCACCAGAGGTAAAGAGGAAAGTTTCGTAACAACAAAATGCTCAATTCATTCGTAGGATGTAACATAACCTAGTAACAGACCTTCCAGATATGGAGTAAATCGATACAATTAGAGGAACGGGACCATGGCACAACACAATAGATTAGAACACCTCTCAACACATGACACACAAAAAATCTGTAAAGACACAGAAATGTGAACGATAGTATTAATTACCTAATTGGTATTACGGAACAAATTCACCCACCGTTTCGGAAAACGTATTTTTTTTTCAAGTACATGTGGAACGCTCAGCAAGACAGGCCATATACTGAGTCACATCATGAGTAAGACTACAAAGATTGAAACCATAAACATATTCTCCAACCTGGATGGAATGAAAGCACAAATCAGTAAGATATTTAGGGGAAAGAAATCAAACCCCTGTGAAGTAGGCAATATACTTCCAGATAATCAACCCAAAATAAATCTAACACCAATCTAAAGCGGTGCTTAAAGAAAAGCGTGTAACTTTAAATACTTGTATCAGAGAAAGGCCTAGGGGCGCCTGGGTGGCTCAGTCAGTTGAGCATCCGACTCTTGATTTCGGCTCAGGTCGTGATCTCACGGTTCATGGGTTCAAGCCCCGTGTCAGGCTCTGCCCTGGCAACGCGGAGCCTGCTTGGGATCCTCTCTCTTTCCCTCTCTCTGCCCCTCCCCTGTGCGCACTCTCTCTCCCTTCCTTCCTCTCAAAATTAAAGAAAACTTAAATTAAAAAGTAAATAAATAAACAGGGAGGGACCACCATGAGTAATTATGTCCAAAAAACTAACAACTTGGGTCAAATGAATAAATTCCTCGAAAACACAGCTGACCCTTAAACAATGCAGGGGTTAGAGGCATCGACCCCCGGGCAGCCGAAAAGCCGTGTATAACTTTTGACGGTCCCCAAATACCCCGGCTACCCCTACCCTCCTGTGGACGGGAGGCCTGACTGAGAACATACACGGCGGCTGAACACCTACTTTGCAGGTGGCATTCTCACAATAAAGTGAACTCGAGAGAAGAAAACGTTACTGGGAAAAATCCTAAAATACGTTTCCAGTGCTGTGCTGTACTTACTGAAAAAAACCCACATACCTGTGGACCCGTGCTTCCCAGACCTGTGATGTTCAAGGGTCAACAGTATGACTTGCCTAAACGACACAAGAGGAAACCAAAAGGCCGACCAGCCCTAAGGTATTAAAGAAAACGAAACCTGTTATAAAAACCCATCCCGCAAAGAAAACTTCCAGCCCAGACGGTCTCACACATTAATTCTATAAAGAGCGAACAAAAGGAGAGTTGGAACTGGGTTATTAAAAAGTCAGCTTTAATATCAACAGGAAGAATGGCCAAGAGCCACCACTATGCACGTTAGAAACGCCAGACGATACAGGAGGAGGAAATCGGCCACGGCCATTCATTTCTTCTTCCCCCTCGGCGGCCTGGCGAACAGAGCGGGGTCCATCTGTTCCCTGGCCAGGCCGCGGACAGAAAAGAGCCTGGCGGCCCGCTCCCGCAGGGTGCCCCCACATTTCAGCCCCCGGGCCGTCAGTTCACTCTTGAGCCTGTCCAAGCCCAGCGCCTCCATTTCCGCCACGGAGGTGAATGCCAGCAAGTCTAGAGTTGCCAGACCAGTATCCTGAGAGGAAAGAAAAGAAAGTATTTAAAACCAGCTCCTCTCCCTGAGGACTCTCCTTAACTGTCCACGGTGCTCTGCTGATCAAGGAATTCTCATTTAATTAGCCGTATCTCGCTACTGAATTTTAATAATCGTCTACGTGTCATTCCACACAGATTCTCATTACGAACACTGACGACCATGAATTTATCTGTACATTTAGAAACAAGCATTCAGAACAGTCACAGAAGTTACAAGATGCCCAGATCCCTTTTTTAAGTGTATTCATTTCAAGAGAGACAAACTGAGCGGGAGGGGAAGGGGCGGAGAGAGAGGGAGAGAGAATCCCAAGCAGGCTCCATGCTGTCGGCCCAAATGGGAGCTTGAACTCTCAAACTGCAAGATAATGACCTGAGCTGAAACCGAGAGTCGGACGCTTCACCGACTGCGCCACCCAGGCACCCCCCCCCCCAGATTCTTAATATGACTTTTCCTCTTTTTTGGATTTTCCAGTAGGTCAAACAGCAAGACACATCCAGCCCAGCCCCACACTGTTACAACCAAGAGTGGCACCCTCGTAAAGTTTAACATTCATGAGATTCCAGGCCTGCACATCTTCTGATTCCATCACCCTGACGCTCTGTAACTTAATGATTAAGACTGTTTGAGTTCCCACGTTTATCTTTTTTTTTATAATTTTTTTTTCAACGTTTATTTATTTTTGGGACAGAGAGAGACAGAGCATGAACGGGGGAGGGGCAGAGAGAGAGGGAGACACAGAATCGGAAACAGGCTCCAGGCTCCGAGCCATCAGCCCAGAGTCCGACGCGGGGCTCGAACCCACAGACCGCGAGACCGCGACCTGGCTGAAGTCGGATGCCTAACCGACTGCGCCACCCAGGCGCCCCGAGTTCCCACGTTTATAACTCAACAAATCCAAACACGGTTCAACAGCCTTGTAATCGTTCGAGCCGTCCGGCAGCCTTTCCAGACTCTCAGACGCAAGGAAATACTTCTAGCCAGGGACGCTCTGCAAAGGACAAAAATGTTCACATATGGGAGTTTTTAAAAAATATATTCAATGGGGCGCCTGGGTGGCTCAGTCGGTGAAGCGTCTGACTTCGGCTCAGGTCACGATCTCGCAGTCCGTGGGTTCGAGCCCCGCGTCGGGCTGTGTGCTGACAGCTCGGAGCCTGGAGCCTGCTTCCGATTCTGTGTCTCCCTCTCTCTCGGGCCCTCCCCTGCTCACACTGTGTGTCTCTCTCTCAAAAATAAATCAACATTAAAAAGATTATAAAAAATATATATTCAAGAAGAGTAATTTTCCATCACAGTAAGTTATTTTTCAATCGTTAAAGAGTTCTAGGGACAGAATCTTAATCCTTCTTGTTGAACTTTATTTTTTTTTTTTCAACGTTTTTTTTTTTTTAATTTAGTTTTGGGACAGAGAGAGACAGAGCATGAACGGGGGAGGGGCAGAGAGAGACGGAGACACAGAATCGGAAACAGGCTCCAGGCTCCGAGCCATCAGCCCAGAGCCCGACGTGGGGCTCGAACTCACGGACCGCGAGATCGTGACCTGGCTGAAGTCGGACGCTTAACCGACTGCGCCACCCAGGCGCCCCTGAACTTTATTTTTTAAAAAGAACCATTTTGGTAGCTCTCAGGAGTAAATCTTGGTTTCATTATTTCTGGCCAAATCCTAAATCACCACCTACGGCTGCACACGGTGGTGAGGAACACATCCGTACCTCCCCACCAAGAACAGTTTCCATGACTGAAGGCTCAAAGAAGTCAACTGGGTCTTACTCCTTATCCTATGCCTAAAATATCCCTTTACTCACGTTTCTATGACTTCAGACAGGAAAAAGCTTCTAATGTATAAGAATACTATAGGGGCGCCCGGGTGGCTCAGTCAGGTGAGCGGCCGACTTCGGCTCAGGTCATCGTCTCAAAGTTCATGAGTTCAAGCCCCATGTTGGGCTCCAAGCTGTCGGAGCCTGGAGCCTGCTTGGGATTCTGTCTCCCTCTCTTTCTCTGCCCTTTCCCCGCTCACACTCCGTCTGTCTCAAAAGTAAACATAAAAAAAGAGTAACACAAAAGCTACAGGCTGACCCCTTGCAGAAACGGCGTGAGAGCCAAACTAAAGCCCTTTGCATAAACAATTCCACTGTCCTCCCTACAGAATGCAATCGATGCCTTCCTGCTTTGTAATTGAGGGTAGGGAAGGTGCTGGTTAAACAAGTAACGATAGGCTTCGTGTTTACCAAAGGACAGCAGGTAGTTCCGGGTGCATCTAGTCTAAAAAGCAAATCATTATTAGATCAAACGGTAAATGTTGAAGAGTCTTCCTGGAAGCTGGTCCACTGAAGGCCATGAGTCCTGAACAACCGGAGGGACACTGTGCTCAGCGAAAACCATCCTTTGATGGCGGGATGCAGAGCTTAAGATGCGAAGACAAATTAGAAGGCAGCTGCCCCTCTCCCTGCAGAGAGAGCGTCACATCCCGCTGACGCCAACTGTCCCAACAGTCTCGCACGCGAGAAAGAAACAAAGCAACCAGGGATTCGGTGCTAGAAAATGAGCACGTTTCAGCCCCTCTAAAATGCCATCTGCCGCATCATGCCTCGTTATCGTCTATGTTATCGACAAACAATAAACGGGGGCGCCTGGGGGGCTGCGTCCGTTGGGCGTCAGCAGTTGGCTCCGGTCGTGATTTCGCGGCTCGTGAGTTCGAGCCCCGCGTCGGGCTCGCTGCTGTCAGCGTGGAACCCGCTTCGGACCCTCTGTGTCCCCCTCCCAGCCCCTGCCCCACTCGCGCGTGGGCGCCTGCACTCTCTCAAAAATAAACATAAAAAAAAAAAAAAGGATAACCGATACCAACTAAACTATGATATGTGACGTGTGTCCAAATTCACAGATTACTAAAATGGTAAATGCGCAGCTTAGAACCGATAAACTAGGGAACCAGGGACACCGCCCCGTGGCAAAATGATACACACCCGAGACTTGAAAAGAAACCAATCTAGGATTTTTGAAGGGGTTAGGCAAGCTTCATGCATCGCACCGCTGGTCATTTAACGGACCTTCCCCCAAGCAGCCCAGGGGGGGAAGCACGTTTTCATTTCAAGGACTTACTGAGGCCATAAGGCTGACGTGGCCGGAGACGGGGCCCCAAGTCACTTACCGAGTTTCCTGACCGGCCGTCCTCCGGTTTGGTCACGGGCGCGCTTCCCCCGCACTCTCCGGGCGCTACCTCGGCAGCCGTGTCAGTCGCCTCCCGTGCCTGTGCCTGTGACTCTTCGGTTGGTCCTGCCCCGGCCGCCCCCTCTTCTGCGGGCTCCTCGCCCCCGGCCCCTCCCTGCTCCAGGCTCTTCTCTGTTTCCACGGCCATGGTCCCCTGCTCGCGCCCCCAGGCGGAGGTCCGGCCCGGCCCGGCGTCTGCGGAGACCGCACACCCAGAGCCTGGCCCGGGCGCCTGCGGCGGCTCCGGGGGCCTAGAGTCCGCAGCCCGCACGCCCGCCCTCGGACAGCTGCCGGCAGATTCGGCTGCCGCCTCAGCGCCATCGCCGTTTCTGGGAGTGTGGAAGCTCACTCCTGAAGTGCCGGGAGCTTCTTCCCCGTCGCCATCCGAGGTCTCTGAGCTAGACTCCTCCGCGGTCTCTAGTCCTTCCGTGCCCAACCTGCAGGGGACAGAAAGGCGTGACACCACCCCCAGCTTCTATGTGGGCAGAGCCCCTGCCTGTCCAGGGAGCGGGCCCTGTCGGATCCAAGTATCTGCTCGCTGGAGATGGAGGGCAGGTAAGTTCCAGAAGATACTCCCGGGGATAAGCGGACGGCGAGATTCAGTTATGACCGGAACCCGCCTGGAACCCACTGTCCTAAAGATCCGAGAAGGACTCCTCTTTAAAGGCGTGAATCTCTTAGAGCAAAACTGATTTTTGTCTAAAGCTATTTTTCCTATCGCCTATGAATCTCAACTGTTAGAAACTAGATAAGATAACAAGCAGTTAAAAGAAAAGTCTGTAATTGCCCCAAACTGGAAACTTCCCAAACTATCGACAGGAGAACGGAGAGATAGAAAAGATAATACTTGGCACTAAGAAGGAACGAATGACGCATACAATCCCAGCCACAGGCTGCAAAGCATCGCGCTAAGTGAGAAAAGCCAGACACGCAGGGCTGTGGGACACCCCCAGAAAGACAAAACCATCACAGATCAGCGGGGTTTGGGGTTGGGGGCGCGGGCACTAACTGTGAAGGGGCACACCGGCAATTTTTAGGGAAATGCGATATTCTGTGTCTTGATTTTGGTAGCGGTTACACGATTTTTCAACACTCACACGACTATTCAATCAGAACGTGTGAACTTTGGCGTATATAAATCATATCTCGGGGCGCCTGGGTGGCTCAGTCGGTTAAGCATCCGATTCCTGATTGTGGCTCAGGTCATGATCTTGCGGTTCGTGAGTTCAAGCCCCACATCGAAGAGCCTGCTTGGGATCCTCTCTCTGTCTCCCTCTCCTTCTGCCCCCTCCCTGCTCACACTGTCTCTGTCTCGCTAGCCGTTGCCCCAACACACAACACCGCTACCTTTTCTCTCAAGAACGCTTGATTCCTATTTCACAAAGAACACCCCAGATTCTATGCTGGACTCGCAGAGTTACGTGGTCTTCGGTTAATAATTTTCTTTCTATCCCCAAGGCGGAAGCCAACAAGGAAGCAAGATCCATCTGGACGGATTTTCTAGAACTCGGCCCAAGGGGTTTTCTAGAACTAGTAACCGGAGGACCAAGTGGGAAGGGCGGAGAGCTCCCGGGGACGGACAAGAAAAGGCACCACTGTGCTTTCCAGCGGCAAGTGCACAAGCGGCCAGGAGAGGTCGGGCAGCGGCCAAACACGTCAGTAACGACCGTGAAAAACCACAGAGAAGACAGAACAATCTAGAAAGCACAGCTTCCACCAAGAATGTCTGAAAGTGAACTCTTTCCACGCCAAACAGTAATTCAAGTATAAACTTACTTTCGGGTGATCTTTCACTGTAAAAAAACCCTGCTCCTTTAGACGGCATGCCTGGTACTCGAGGCAGAAGCCACGAGCGGTGTGTCCAGTGTGACAACCGTGCAGACTTGAAGACCGAAGCATTCTGGAAATTTCTGAGCTCCCTTCAAACATTACTTTAAAAAGTGTTTATGCCAGGGGCGCCTGGGTGGCTCAGTCGGATAAGTGTCCGACCCTTGATTTCAGCTCAGGTCGTGATCTCACAGTTCACGGGTTCAAGCCCCACGTCGGGCTCTGCAGGGCCAGTGCAGAGGCTGCTTGGCATGCTCTCTCCTCTCCCTCCCTCTTTCCCTCCCTCTCCCCTCCCCTCAAAATAGATAAGTGAACTTAAAAAATAAATAAAAATGAAAAACTAAAAGCGTTTATGCCAGAGAGACAAGAAGGAAATGCGTCAGTCCGCACAGATCTCTTCGCGATGAAAACGAAGCATATGCTTACCAAAAGCATTTCCTCTTCCCTGAACTGGCTCCTCTGTCCGTTTTTGATTTGTTGGGTCGTTTCCGACTCTCCCCAATTTCCGCCGACACCATCTTGCTGGAAGCAGCCTGCATACCTAACCACAAGTGTTAACAACTCAGTTACGCCATCAGGAGTAAGGACAATTAAAGAAGTCATACCCAGTACGGACTACAAGACAACTGCGTTGTCATCCAAAGCTCTGGATTTAGTCTCTTAGCGGACCAAGATTTGCTACCGTTACTGTGAGAGTCACCTCAAATTTACATAGAGCTAAGCACCGAGCATTCCGGCTCTGGAAGCAGGTTGGAAAACACCGGCATCCAGTCTGCAGCCCTGACACGGACAGGCTCGTGTCCGGCCTCCCCACGCCTGCTCGTCTGCCCCCTTGTACACTTTACTTGGGTATCACTTTGTCATAACCTCCTGACTGAAAAGATTCCTTCTTATTCAGCCGAACCCCCAACGGCCCCAGCATTAACGCTCCAGATACAAAAAACACACACAGAAGCCGAGGACCATCGTTCGTTCTCCTTAAAATACCATTAAAAACACTGACCTAAAACTAGAAACAAACGTGCTGAGGTCTCAACTCCTCCTGAAGACACAGGACAGCCCCACCGAGCACGAGGAGGTTCTTACCTGGGGCCCGCGGGAGTCAAGTACAAACACCGTGTGAGTGTGCCATCTGTGCTGGGGTGTAAGGAGCGTGGGTTGTCACTGAGTGGAGACCCCCACCCCCCGGCCTCCATCCGGTCCTCGGGGGACGGCGTGACTCCTTCTCACCTTTGAGGACCGAGTCCTCCAGGCGCTCGGCCATCTCGTGGCACTGCCGCTGGTAGGCGGGGTTGGCCGAGCAGGGTCTGGGCTCCGCCAGCTTCCGCTGCAGCCGCTCCAGACGCTTCTGCTCCTTTTCAGCCTCTCGCTCGGCCTGCTGTTTCACCCACTCGGCCATCCTGGGACGCAAGAGACGATCACGCGCCCGCCCCTTTACGCAGAAAGAGCCCCTCCCCGGCGACAAATTCGCCCTGTCCCGCGCATGCTGTGACTTTCCCTTGGACAGGGAGAGATGAGAGTCGAGAGCGATGGATGAGGGCGCTAACATTTCAAGTCTACGTATCCGTACGCACGGCACGCGCACGACCACCACCGACAGAAAACACCGCTCTCTTCGAAACAACCAAAACAGGGGGCGTCTTACGCCTTCTCGTGGTTGACATCTCGCAGCCTCCGCCCGCTGAGGTCCCGGCAAGCCTCTCGGTTGGTCGTCTTCTCGATCTGAGCACCAAGCGCGCGGAGCATAGATCCGAACCCTGAGCAGATACACACATTTGGAGAGAGCAGGTGAGGGGGTTCGAGGGGGTGGGTAAAGGCCAATTCGCGAAAACAGTGTCCGGGCCACAAGAGTAAAAAGGATCTCTTTCATTCTTTTTTTTTTTTTTTTTTTTTTTTTTTTTTTTTTAAGAAAGGGATGTCAGGACCCCACCCAGGTAAAAGTACCGATAAACTCGATTCAGCCTCACACCTTCGCCCTTCCTTTGGATCTCCGCAACACTGCATCCTCACCACTGGGGCTCTTCGGAGGGCTTTGCCCAGTGCCACAGATCCCAAGATTCCCGGATGAAGAACTTAAACAAAACTTCATGGTGAGGGGCCCATGGGGTGGCTCAGTCAGCTAAGCAAGCATCTGGTTTCAGCTCAGGTCAAGATCTCACAGTTCGTGAGTTCAGAGCCCACATTGGGCTCTGTGCAGACAACGTGGAGCCTGCTTGGGGTTCTCCCTCTCCCTTCTCTCTGCCCCCGCCCCCTCCCCCGTTCGCATTCACGTGTCCACTGTCTCTTTAATTTTTCAAAAAAAATTTTTTTTGTTTTTGAGCGAGAGGGAGCACGCACGCGAGTGGGGGGGAGGGGCAGAGAGAGAAAGGGAGACACAGAATCTAAAGCAGGCTCCGGGCTCTGAGCTGTCAGCACAGACCCTGACACGGGGCTCGAACCCAGAAACGGCGAGATCATGACCTGAGTCGAAGTCGAACGCTTCACCGACTGAGCCACCCAGGTGCCCCAACTCTCTCTCTGTCTTAAATACACTTAGAAAAAATTTTAATAAAAAAATTAAGAAGTAATTTATGGTGAGATTTTGCAGCGAGTTTCAAAGGAAAAGCAATTTTAAGTTGTCACTGGCTCATATGATCAGCTTCATCCTCCCGGACACAGTTTCAAACATCAGCAGGATGATTGTAATTCGACGCCAGCTCTCTGAAAACCACACCAAAGCACGGTAGGTGTTGAGAAAGCTTCGGGATTACAGGCCAGTACATCAGGAGAAATACCCAGAACCCCTGTTATTCTCAGTGTTTGCTCGTTTAGTTTCTTTTCCCTCTTAATCTACCCCGACCTGGAAATGACTGTTATTTCACAAGCCGACGTCAGTCCTCCCTTGGAGCTACAATAACCAGACAAAATCTTGATCAAAGCAGCCGATTTAGTTGTTTTAACGTTCCTCTTTCAGCAAACTGGACAGAGTAATGATCATCTCTCATCAAATCTTCCCCGAAGTTTTAGAACCCAGGTTGCCCGAGTGCTATCCTGCTGACGAAGGTAGAAACTAATCAGACAATATAGTCCTCAAAAAGAATAAAAGAAACGGGTGCCTGGGTGGCTCGGTCAATTAAGCGTCCAACCCTTGATCCTGACTAGGTGATGACCTCAGGGCTCATGAGATCAAGCCCCGCATCAGGCTCTGTGCTGACAGTGCAGAGCCTGTGTGGGATTCTCTCTCCCCCCCCCGCTCTGCCCCTCCCCTGCTTGAGATCTCTCTCAAATAAACTTAAAAAAAAAAAAAAAAAAGGAATAAAAGAGAAAATATTCAAAACTAGGTAAGTAACTAAAGGATTTCAGAAGGCAAACAAAACCGGAAACTACAGAGGCCAAGGAGCTGGTGAATTTAACGCACGGGGCTCAAGGTGGGGGCTCCACGGTGAGCAGCCGCCGCTCCTGTCCTACCTCCTTTGCCACCGCGGAGCCTGGGTTCCAGACTATAGACGGCGCCATGCCGCACCCTGTCACTGGTGTCCGTGAGCGATCCGTCGCACTTCACAAAGAAGCATTCCACTGGAACATCCTAGAGACAAGTTTGGGGTTTTTAAATGCTGTTTACGAGACAATACGAGTTTCCTGCAGGAAGGGGCCTGGCCCGTTATCTTTTCATTACTCCAGTTACACGCAGAGAGCGAGTGGTCAACGAGCATTTGCTGAACTGAAAGTCGAAACTACTGAAAGAAAAAAGTCATTTCGCACAATTTTTTCCTGACACCTCACCATGACACGTACGAGAACTGTTTGTCTTTCGGGTGAAAATAAAAACCACTGCCTTCTTCTCTGGCAGGAAACCAGAGCCAAGGTAGGGAGCTGTATGGGGCTCAGACCCAGTAACTCTGCAAGTCCCATTCTGTCCTGACTTTTGTAAACGGGGAATGTCAAGCCGAACAGGTTTGGAAGTGACCGTAAGTATTCTGGGCCAGCTGGCGGCGGTGATCTCTGCTCCTGTCCCCGACTCACAGCAGAAGCCGGCATAGCCCTAAGCCCGCTCCGTGTATTTCAAAAATTCTCAGAACAAGTGGTAGGTAAAAAATATATAAACTGTTAAGTCTTTCTAACCAAGTCTGTGATGCCATAAAGTGAGACAACAGAGGAGTACCCTCCGAAGTACACAATTAAATGTGTAACATCAAGTGCTAAGAGACCTAACCCCAACAAAAGGAAAAATGCATGACCAGTGGGGTGCCTGGGTGACTCCGTCCATTGGGCGTCGGACTCTTGATTTCGGCTCAGGTCGGGATCTCATGGTCGGGAGATCAAGTACCGTGTTGGGCTCCTCGCTGAGTGTGGGGCCTGCTTGGGATTCTCTCCCCCCCTCCCTCTGCCCCTTCCCAGCTTGCGCACACAAGCTCTAAGAATTTTTTTTTAAATGCATGATTGGAATCTTCCCAAAATAGACACAACGAACACTCACTCTGAACCACACCACACAGCTATTTCAACAGGAACTACCTGTTCATTCAACAAATATTAAGTCCCTACTGTTTGCCAGGTACTTTCTAAGCGCTGGGATGCTGTAGTGAATAGTACAGTGAACACAGACCCTCCCTCACGGAGCTTACACTCCAGCGGGGAAACCCAGATGATGAACACACGAAGTACATACTATGTCAAATGGCGACGAGCAGAGTGAAGGGGCAGCAGACGCAGACGGGCATGGTGGTAAGACGTTTTACATACAGGTGGTCAAGAGGAGCCTCTCGGGCCAAGGGACATTTGAGCAGAGAATTAAGCAAAGGGAGAGAACAGGCCACGTGGGGGACAGCACTCCAGAGAGCCCAAATGCAAAGGCGGGCAGGAGGGATAAGCCTAGATACGCATGCGACAGCAACCCCACCGATGTGGCTGGAAGAAATCTACAGAAGGGGAAGGGGAAGGGGAAGGCCTTAGAAACCACTGTAAGGACCTTGGTTTTACTCTGAATGAAGCCACTGCAGGGTTTTGAACAAATTGAGAGCTGAGTTATAGTCTTTAAGGATCACTCTATGGGGCGCCTGGGTGGCTCAGTCAGTTAAGCATCCGACTTCGGCTCAGGTCATGATCTTGAGATTCATGGGTTCGAGTCCCGTGTTGGGCTCTGTGCTGACAGCTCGGAGCCTGGAGCCTGCCTCGGATTCTGTGTCTCCCTCTCTCTCTCTGCCCCTCCCCTGATCACGCTCTGTCTCTGTCTCAAAAATAAATAACACATTAAAACAATTAAAAAAAAAAAAGGATCGGGGCGCCTGGGTGGCGCAGTCGGTTAAGCGTCCGACTTCAGCCAGGTCACGATCTCGCAGTCCGTGAGTTCAAGCCCCGCGTCAGGCTCTGGGCTGATGGCTGGGAGCCTGGAGCCTGTTTCCGATTCTGTGTCTCCCTCTCTCTCTGCCCCTCCCCTGATCACGCTCTGTCTCTCTCTGTCCCAAAAATAAATAAAAAACGTTGAAAAAAAAAATTTTTTTTTAAATAAATTAAAAAAAAAAAAAAAGGATCACTCAAGCTGGTGAACTGGAAATGAGACTACAGAAGCAGAGACGTCATATCATGACAATCCAGGTGAGACGCAAGGGCCATCTGCACCAGGGGTGGTAGACGAAAGGTGAGGAGGACCGTGAGGGGCCCTAGTGCCCTGAGTGAGGGCAGTGAGATCAACAGAGGAATACAGAGGAGCCCAAAAATCTGGTCTAAGGGGAAGAGTGAGATGGCACGTATTTGGGGAGAGTACTGGTCTCATGCTGGGTGTGCTTCTTTGAGAGGCCTAATAGCCATGCGAGATGTGGGGTAACCCGGTGGGGACCCAAGTCTGGAGTCTGGGGCAGAGGGCTGGGCTGGAGCCTTACATCTGGGAGACGTCAACACACCGATGGTACTTACCGCCCTGAGAATGGACGAAGTTGCCCACGTGGGGGAGGAGGAAGCGTCAGAACAAGGATCAGAAAACTTGGCCCGGCCACTCTAAGGTTTAGAGACCAGGGAGATAAGGAGGAAGCGGCAAGAGACACTGGAAGGGAGGCTAGTGAGGTGGAAGAGAATGAGGGTGACGTCTGGACCGGTAAGCAAAGCATGCCAAGGAGGGAACGGTCGCCTGTGCCCACGGATGCTGAGAGGCCACGAGAGAGGAAGACTGGAAACTGATCACCAGATACGGCAACGCATAAGACCGTGACCCGCGAGGCGCGAGTTGGTCTGCTGGAGTGATGGGCACGGAAGCCCAACTGGAGGACGTACCGAAGGAGAGAGGTTTACGTTCAAGGGTATTTTCTATAAAGAAAACCAGGGAAGACGAGGGGACAGCTGGAAGGGATGTGGGCTCAAGTATGCGCACTGGGAGGACTGATCCAGGAAAAAGGGAAAACACTGGGAAATGCAGGGGAGAACTAACGCTAAGTAAGCCATTCAGTAGGGAAGACGGGACAGGACACTGGGCAAAGCGAGGGTAATTACTTTTTTTTTTTTAATTTTTAATGTTTACTCATTTATTTTCAAGAGAGAGAGAACACAAGCGGGGCACGGGCAGAGAGAGAGAGGGAGACACAGAATCCAAAACAGGCTCCAGGCTCTGAGCTATCAGCACAGAGACTACGTGGGGTTTGAACCCACAAACCGTGAGATCATGACCTGAGCCGAAGTTGGATGCTTAGCCGACTGGGCCACCCAGGTGCCCCCAAAATTCTAAATAACTTTAAAAGACATTCATGCGAAAGCAGAAAAATTATATACACCACACTCCATTTCCAAACAAGAACTGCTTGTTAAGACAACTGATCAACAAAATTGCATTTTCTACTTGTCACATTCTTGTCAACAATCACCAGTAGAAACCAAGAGTAAAGGAAATTTAGAATCAATTCAAGCGCCTTTAACCTTTGCACATTATCAAGTTCTTCGAACACAAAGCCTGAGGCTACCAGAGACAGACCAGTAGTTCAACAAAGCCAAGTTTATGGGCAAGGGTGGAATTTGGGTGAAATTTAAATGAAAGTGTTTTGAGAAACTCAAAATGAGCTGAGCTGTGTCTAAAAGGGGCAACATCAGGTCCAGACTACGAAGTAGATTAGATCCAGGCTCCTGTCTCCTTGGAAACCACAAAGTTAAGATAAACGTGGAATGTCGTGTTCAGAACTCCGAATCTGAAGTTCTGCGCCCGGGCTGGAAATCCAGAGAGAGTGCTGCTCTGGATCAAAGGGACTTAGAATCTCCAGGCAAGAGTGGGATGCTTCATTCTTACTGATAACGTTTCAAACAGGAAAGTGTCTCGTAGTCTGTAATTTTCTAGATCGAGGCTTCTCGGTGAATCAGAAAGCAGGAGACTGCCGAGGGAGTCAGGATGACATTTTACAACCGCACCAGGTCCCCGGGAGAAATAAATTTCCTATTAATTCTGCAGCCAGCTTCATCTGTGCTATCCTAGGCTGCAGACCAGCCAACAGATTTTTACTCTCTCGGTGGGAACTAACACTGACTTCATCCTGCGTCCCAATAATTTGGCTTTAAAAAGCACAGATGTGGGGCACCTGGGGGGCTCAGGTCACGATCTCGCAGTTCCTGAGTTTGAGCCCCCGCATCAGGCTGTGTGCTGTCAGCTGGGAGCCTGGAGCTGCTTCCTATTCTGTGTCTCCCTGTGTCTCTGCCCCTCCCCTGCTCATGTTCTGTCTCACTCCGTCTCTCAAAGATAAATAAATGTTTAAAAAAAATTTTTTTTAATAAGTAAATAAATAAAAATAAAAAGCACAGACGTGAACTTGAGCTATTTTTATTCGTTCCAGTATCTCATCAAATGCCCTTTTATAAATTTCTTGTTTCTGTTCACACATGCCACGGTTATATTTCTTGAATACCCGACTGAATCCTTCATTTATATTTCTCCCCTCTTACTTAGAATTATTTTTTCCAATACTTCTCATGATTAAGATCCTATTCTTTCTGGTCATTTTGGATCAACTGCCATGAGATAAGAAATATTTTCAGAGATATTAAAATCCCATGTATTTCGTACTACATTCATGAAATAAGATTTTCAGAGATATTAAAATCACTAAACTAATATTTCACTTATTCATGAAATAAGATTTTCAGAGATACTAAAACCTATTTTGTAAAACAGTTTCCCACCTGGATGGCCAAACACACCTCTGACAGCTTTCACACTGGACTGCAGTGTAGAAAAACAAATGGGGAAGCTGAAAAACCACATTATTTGGAAAGACGTGTTGCTTCCTCATGGAACCGGTCCAAATACAAATTCGGTTTAGACTGCAGTGTTAACATGTGTTAAGCCCGTTAAGTAACAAAGCAGAAGAAACAGCCTAGGAAAAGAGGGACTTCGTGAAGTTATAAAGAAAAACAGACGACTCCATCAAGTGCCAAAATTAAAATGAGATTCAGGGAGACCACTGAAGAACCAAACAGGTTCAAGGTTTACCAGTTTACGGCTGGTAAAAGCTGCTTGCTTGACTATTAAGTAAACCGCACACAGAACTTCACAAGTCCGTGACAGGTGTTCAAAAATATGCACGGACAAATGTGACGGCCAAATGAAGAGATCTAAACGACAGACCGCACGAACCCACGCCCTCACCAGGACACGAGTGGGAGGGCGGGGCCTCGACCAGCGACCTTAACAACCCACTTCCCGTCTCCCTCCGCCACCATCCTGTGGCCCGGGTTTGGACAGGGAACTCTGTCCGGGGTTGGAGCTAACCGGGCTGGGTGATCAGGGGACAAAACGCATAGGGTGCATGCAGGGGAAATGTAAGGAAATGAGCCTCAGAAGCCAGCGGGTCCCACGGCCTCCTGAACGCACGGAGGAACAATGCCCCGGGGCGCTGAGAGTCCAGACCGAGGGCTGGACTGAGCGCCTGAGAGCGGAGGGGCTGCTCCCCGCTCTGGAGGGAGACAGAACCGCCACCACCCCAACACAAAAGCAAAACGAGGCCTCAGCAGCAGCTCGAAGCACCTTCACACTGGGGGGCCTTCAGCCCCAGAAACACAACCCCAGGGAAGAGACGCGCCCCCGCCAGACCCTGGTCACCCAGCCCTGCCCTCCCCGCCCCGCTCCGCCCGCCGCTGTCTCCCTCCTCCCGGGGAGCGCGAACCCCACCTGATCCTGGCAGTGTCGGCGGATCACATCGCGTACGGAGCACGAGGCCGAGGCACAGCGCACCGCCTGGCACCCGAGGCCGGGGCCGCGAACCCACACCAGCGCCGCAGCCTCCGCCATCTCAGCGAGCGACCGCCGGGGGAGAAGGAGCCACGACTCGCCGGCGCGCCTCGATGGCGTCACGGGGCCTTCAGCGCCCCGCCCCCACAGCGGCCGCTCGCCCCGCCCCTCCCCTGGGGCCAGTCACGTGGGCCGGGCCCCCGCGCCGCGCCGCGCCGGCGGGGGAGGGGAACGGGAAGGGCCTGGAGGAGGCCGATAAGGCGCCGGAGCGCGCGGGCGAGGCGTTGCTAGGAGACGTTGCTGGGGCGGGGCTCGGGGGACCCCGTATAAAAGGCCGCGCGGGGCCGGGTTTCCAGCGCTCTGGCGGCGCGCGATAAGGCGGGTGCGGGGCGCCGCTCGCGGGCCTCGGCCCCTTCGGTGACGCCGCGCGGTTATTTTTGGGTCTCGGCGAGCCGGGGCCGGAGGAGGCGCGCTCCCCCGGGGCGGGAGGCGCGGCCCTGCAGTCCCGGAAGCGGTTGGGGCGGCCTCCTCCGGCCTCGGAGCCGCCCCGCCCAAGGGCCAGGGAGCGGCCGCGGGGGCTCCCCGGTGGCCCAGCGCCCACCTCCTCGGCAGCCGCTGCCGGCCGCGCGCAGGGCCTTGTTGCTTCCTGCTGTCGGCGCCGTTTGCACACCGCCTCCCCTCTGCCCCTGGAGCGGGCCGCGCGAGGGCTGGGGTGGGGCGGGGTGGAGAGCCCAGCGGCCCGCGGTGCGGGGACCCGGGGGCGATGGGGACCGCGGCTGGCCGCCCGCACAGCCAAGTCCCCCGAGGTGCAGAGGGCGAGGCAGGCAGACCGCCCGGCGCGGGGACTCCACAGGGCTGACCCGAGGTGGCCACCCTATGCGGTTGAAGACACTAGGCAGAGGACACCTCGCAGAGACTCGGAAGTCACTGAAGGGTGGCCGTAGGAGCGAACTCGTAAGGTCAAGGCCCCTGAAGTTACAGGCTCTAACTGGTGTGTTTATTTCCCTGACACCAGAGGGAAATGGACGCAAAGAAAGGGCCCAGGGACCGAAGAGTTACACCAAATGGTGAGGATGTCGTGTCTCGAGAGCAGTGCTTCCGAGAGTGGCTCTGGTGGTGACCCTGGTTGGAGTCCATGGGGGCCCCACCAAGTATGAAAACACAGTCGGGGTGGGGAGGGGCGCTTGAGCGGCTCAGTCAGTTAAGCCTCTGACTGCGTTTCTACTCAGGTCATGGTCTCCTGCTTCGTGGGATCGAGGCCCACGTGGGGCTCTGCACTGACAGCATGGAGCCTGCTTGGGATTCTCTCTCAAAATAAACGGACATTAAAAAAGAAATTAAAAAAAAAAAGGGGGGGCACCTGGGTGGCTAAGGTGGTTGAGCGGCAGACCAGCTCAGGTCATGATCTTGCCATTTGTGAGTTTGAGCTCGGCGCCGAGCTCGCTTTGGATTCAGTCTCCCTCTCTCTGCCCCTCCCCTGCTTGCACGCTGTCTCTCTCAAAAATAAATAAACATTAAAAAACAAAGAACACAGTCCAAACTTTGGAAAACTTGAGCCTCCCCACTGTCCACCCTCAGTGCCCCCTGAACATGCAACCTCGAGGGAGCCAAGCCAAGCCCCAAGCCTCTTTGTTCATTCATTTCTTCTTCTTCCTTGGGATTAAAAAAAAAAAAAAAAAAAAAAAATGGCTATCTCAAAGGTCCTCCTCTCCCACAAGGAAGCAGACAAAAGACCAGCCTCGCTTTATATAACATTTTTGTTTCAGGGCAATGATTCAAATATGTAAAGATCAATTAGTCCTTTTTAGTAAGGAAAGTCCACATCATTTATTTACTGGCATTAAATCTCATCTTTCTAAAACCAAGTCTGAATGAAACTGTTCACTCTTTATCTCATTCTTACACTTAAATTCCTATTATTAAAAAAAACAACTCGAGGGGCACCTGGGGGGCTCAGTGTCTGACTCTTGATTTCGGCTCAGGTCATGATCCCAGACTTTGGTGGATGGAGCCTGCAGTCACACTAAGCCTGGAACCTTCTCTCTCCCTCCGCCCCTCCCCCACACAATGGTCTAGCTCTCTGAAATAAACAAATGAATAACAATAACGAGGAAACTGAGTTACCTAAAGCTAGAGCTCTGGCCAAGGACATAGGAGTAGAAAAAATTCTAGGCAGATAGCTGATTAGCTGGGCAGCTGAGAGTATACAGTGGTGTCTAATGGGCACTGTTGTGTGGCCAGGCCGGTCGGCGATTACGGAAACAGAATTGCTGTCACCTTCCCCACCTCATGGTGTCAGGGGAGGCACGGGAAGATGCATGTAGGGTTGGGACCAGTAGGTGGTGAGTGGGTGGAGGTCAGTTCCTCTATTAGCAAAATAGGGTAGCCCTGCTCCGGGGACATATTCGGTGTTCCTTCCAATAAGCCACACTTTGTTCCTGCCCGCGTTCTCCAGAAGGTTGACTCTGGCTCCACCTTTGCTCTTTGAGGACTGGCTGGGGCCGGGAGGACACTGTGAGAGCGTCCCGGGGCGATGTGGGATAACTGTCCCCTGCCAGGAAATGACAGCTCCCGACAATGTTTGTGTGGCAACCCATGACGGGCTCAACTGAGCCAAAATGTCACGCTGGGCCGCAAGTACAGGAAGCGAGTCTGAACATTCTGGCAATTTTTACCAACGACAGCAGGGCTCCGAAACCAGCGAATTTGCAGACTACGTCCCTGTGTGACATTCAGGGCACACTGATGTGTTTTCAGCCATGTTCATGCTCAGGGGCAAGAAGAGGAAGTTGTTAGTGCCATCGCTATGACAAAAGACAACGGTACGGCTTGGTTCCTCCTGTGCCACGAACACAAAAGTGCATAAACTCCTAAACTGGCCAAGTGTTGCCTTCTGGATGGTTCCAGCCCCGGGAACAATGAGGTCAGCTCCTAGGATGGAAAACAGCTTCTGGGTAGGAGCTGTGGAGTCCACACTGGGGGGGTGGATGGCGTGGGAGGCGGAGCCTGACACAGGGACCCAAGACGTGTGGCAGCCAGAGAAGGCACAGCCCCACCCTGCCGCCTCTATTGGACAGAAGGAAACAGGACGCGTCAAGGGCGAGGTGGAGTTGAGGGTAGAAAAGGTGTGCATTTAGCACTGGTGCTGGGCAGGAGCCGGAGAGGACAGAGGTGCCGGAGGAGTAGGGTGGCGGTGCCCGGCCGGGAGAAAAATCTGGACCCACAGCCAGCGCTGGGTACAGAAGCCCACCTCTCTGCAGTGTCCGCAAGAAGGAAGGATCTTCCTTCGGGGTGGACTTTCATCAATAAATTCAGTCACTCCCGATCGCCCTGGATATTACCTTGTTTGATTTATCACAACACTCGTTTCCAAAGGCCTCTTGGTTATCCTCATTCATAAGTCGCCATCAAATAATGCTGTTACGATAAAAAAAAAAATTTAATTTCGGTCACTGTATTAGAATTATAAAGCAAACTGGCGTAGCACACATCTTCCATAAATGGAGTATCTGAGCACTGGAATTCTTTCAACATTGAAATTCAATTTCTCTCTTGGCAATAAAGACCCATAGTTCTTTATGAATTCTGCATGGCCAAGCCATTGAAAAGGGGATTTTTCTCCTGGAAAACTCATAGGTCTGTAGGAATATTTTTTAATGATCTGACGTTAGAATGTGTTGACTGTATTAGGGTTTTCTAGAGAAACAGAGCCAATAGGGTGGATAGAGAGGGGGGGAGGGTACAGACATACCTCAGAGACATTGTGGGCTCAGTTCCAGACCACCACAAGAAAGCCAATATCGCAATAAAGCAAGTCAAAGGAATTTCTTGGTTTCCCAGTGAATATAAAGGTTAGGTTTACACTATATTATAGTCTATTAAGTGTGCATTAGCATTACATCTAAAACAATGCACACACCTTAATGAAAAAATATCTCATTGCTAAAACACCCCAACCACCATCTGAGCTTTCAGTGAGTCGTAATCCTTTTGTGTCTGGAAGGGTCTCCATATTGGGGGCTGCTGGTTGGTCAGGGTGGTCGGTGCTGAAGATTGGGGGGCTGTGGCAATTTCTTAAAATAAGACAGTGAAGCCTGCCTCATCGATGGACTCTTCCTTTTTTTTACTATCTTTAAAATTTTTGTTTAATGTTTATTTATTTTGCAGAGAGAGACAGACGGACTCCAAAGCAGGCTCCATGCTCTGAGCTGTCAGCACAGAGGCCGACGCGGGGCTCGATCTCACAGACCAAGAGACCATGACCTGAGCCTAACCCATACTTTGGACGCTTAACCAACTGAGCCCCCAGGCACCCTCTGATACACATTTTAGAAGCCCACCAAACAGGGTAGAATTTTGAACATTCATGAACACACGGGTTAAACGCTAACGAAGAAAACTCAGCTGTCCAATATGGCGGCATGTGTCCCCAAAGCACTGGATACCAAGAGTCGTAGCCGCTCCGGTCCCCTCTCCTAAACACCTATTGTACTTTAAGGCAGTTCAAATAGAGGGTCAGACAAACTGTTTTGTGTACAAATAACCAATTTTCTCCAGTTACTATAAGATGACAGTGATTTCAACACATAATTTCTCTTTTATTTTTTTTTTATTTTTTTTTAATTTTTTTTTCAACGTTTATTTATTTTTGGGACAGAGAGAGACATAGCATGAACAGGGGAGGGGCAGAGAAAGAGGGAGACACAGAATCTGAAACAGGCTCCAGGCTCCGAGCCGTCCGCACAGAGCCCGACGTGGGGCTCGAACTCACGGACCGCGAGATCGTGACCTGAGCCGAAGTCGGATGCTCAACCGGCTGAGCCCCCCAGGAGTCACGGGACTGTGATTTGTTTTTTGTTTTTTTAAATTTTTTTTTTCAACGTTTATTTATTTTTGGGACAGAGAGAGACAGAGCATGAACGGGGGAGGGGCAGAGAGAGAGAGGGAGACACAGAATCAGAAACAGGCTCCAGGCTCTGAGCCATCAGCCCAGAGCCTGACGCGGGGCTCGAACTCACGGACCGCGAGATCGTGACCTGGCTGAAGTCGGACGCTTAACCGACTGCGCCACCCAGGCGCCCCATAATTTCTCTTTTAATTACCCAGAGCCT